CGGGAGCACGCGATAGGGGCGGGGGAGCAATTTTTGATTGTGAAACGTGTGGATTCAGGCACACACACTCCATCGCCCGCTTCTTTACCAAATGTGTCGCAGAGGCATCTACCACAAAATCGCTACTAGATATTTTTCCATTCCCCCCTCCTCCCTACTCCCCCTTCTCAACGTCTTCGCTCCTTCTTCACCCCCCAACAACAGCTATGCCACAAATTTCGCCCCAGAGGCTAATACCTGCGATGAAGAAAAATGCCCAGAGTACGATCACGGCAATCGACAGTGACAGTAGTAGAGCTACCAGAATGCAAACAGCGCGTTTCAATTTTTGTTAAGAGAGATGGTGAAAAAGCGGTTGGGAATAGCAATAGTAACGGGGGACGGGACATGGTATTGTAGACTGAAATGTGCATACCCCCGGGCAGTGAAGGTTAAAAGAGGGATTTCATTGACTGGAAGTGGAGACAGTGTGCATGGCAGTCGTCGGAGCAGAAATGCAGGCACATTGTGCTACTCGCAAGCACCTTAGAAAGTCGTGGGTACGAAAGCCTGAGTTGCTAGGGCTCAGAGAAAGGAGACGTGATTATCATCAAACTTACTGCTCGCCAGAGTTACCAATCAGCAGCGGTGTTCCGAACAAGCTTTTTTTCGAAACCTGCTAGCTAACGCAGCCAGTACAAAAGTTGACGCGATCATAGAACGGGGCCTCTCTTACGTCCGACGCGCAAAACAAGGACTGATTGCAACACAAGGGTCAAAAAAATGAGTCCAGGTCATGGACGAAATGGAATTCGGAAAATGGAATTTGGCACAATGCAATATGAACACGTTTTGAAGGTGAAATTGATGGAAATTAATGCGTTTAAGGCTACCTTCGTAAGTACAGCCAGTAAAAGCGAGACATCATGCCCTGTTTACAACGGCATCGAAGTGTGACACCATGTAGAAACTCGTAAAGTTCGTATATAGCACATTCCGTGTGTTTTTTAAACAGCTCTCACATTTCACAAATCAGTCAAGGTAGGGGGCTCGGTTTTTGGGTAAAGACAGTGGAGCCTAGAGCATGCTTTGCAACTCGAAAGTGCCGCCTTTCATCGTTTTGCGGCTTCTGCATCTGTTTTAAATGGGGAAAACAGTTTAAAGTTAAAATTCTGCTTGTGGTTCTCCGCGAGGGACATTTGTGTTAGACGCGGGAAAATTCAAATAGACTAAGCGAAAACTCGGACGAAACGGATGTGATTAGCATAGAGTGGTGATCATGTCGACCCAAATACGAGACAGAAGCCACTGTGCTTGCCCTCGGTATATCCTGGCATATGGAAAGATTGTACAGAACAGGAAGCGGGGACGTAAGTGCGATTTTATCGCATAAAAAGTCGCTGTACCGAACTTAATTTTCTCCTAGGAGTAAAGCAGTCTACTTAACGATATTTGACAGGAGGCAGAGGAGGAAGAAAAAGAGGAGGAGGAGGAGGAGGAGGAGGAGGAGGAAGAGGAGGAGGA